AACATCATAACCTTATTATTTAACGAGATGGTATTGGAGGATATTCTTTAAATGTTTATTAAACTAGGGCTTTAAACCTTGCAATACTAGATGGTTTTTACAAAAAATTACATTGGATATAATAAAATATAACGGGCAAAAATAATGTTTATAATTGTTTTTATTTAATAACGAAATAATCGGTGAATAATTTATACATGTATAGAAGTTATGGAACATTAATCTGTAGGGATATAACGTAAGGATGATAAACAGCATTGTTCTATCAAACAAGATAGACAGTTTATAAGATAAAGAAAAAGGTAATTGTGAGACTGGGTAAATTGAATATCGTTTTATTATTGAATTAGAGGATGGTTTATATAGGAATTGACAAAGTCCTTTCGGTACTTGTCAATTAATAGAGCAGACTGAGAGAATGATTTATAATGTGAACATATTGCAGTAAGCATGTGTGGACCATGCGTGCATTGTAAGCTGTGATATTATTTATAAGTTGTTTTTATTATTTGTTAATGCAGATGTTGCGTGTAAACCGCGTGTACGTGAGGTGACACAAAATAACTATTTCGAGTTTCTTCGCTAAAGTAACTCACAGAATAGTGCTTGTATACACTACGCGATATTTGTGTATACAACAAGCATCACAAAAACCGAACACCATACACAGTATAGTGTTGGCTGTCATGGTGGTATATGTAGATTGACAGATGCAGAAGTGGTACCTAACTGTGTATATGACTTACATTTGACGGGTCTCTTAGGGACAGACAAATTGTTCTTAGGGACAGACAAGTTGTTCTTAGGGACAGCCAAAGTGCACGTAACCATGGCCTAGGATCGGGTGCCTTTTGGCTTTCCCTAAGAGATCACGTGCTATGTTAGCTGTCCCTAAGAGTTAGATCATAATCTCATATTTTTAGGAGAGCATGTAAACAACACTTAAGATATACCATATGCAATACTCTCTCTGGTATACTACCTTCAGGATTGTATCAGGCATTCACAGGTCAATGGGTATCCGATAGGTGGAAGAGAAATCATTTAGGACAAATAAATCATTATTTTTTAGGCTCTTTAATTCAATACCACCCCTACAGCACGTGATCTCTTAGGGACAGCCAAAAGGTACCCGATCTTAGGCCATGGCTACGTGCGTTTTGGCTGTCCCTAAGAAAAGCGTACATTTAATAAAGCTGGATTAAATTACTAAATATACTGTTAGAAAATGTAAACACGGTTTCAAGTTTTTTAAACAAAGCCATTAACGCGCACCCGGTAATTTTTCCTTTTTGGGATATCCGCACCCGGTGTAGAGTAATGGGGTTTATAGACGGCGATTTAATAAGTAATTTAAGTGAGCACCACGCAGTAGGTTGCGATCCGAGTGTGTAATAAAATAGGGCTTTTAACTAAGCGATATGGGGTTCTGATCTTAATAAAAGAGCAGAATGGGAGACAAAATGGAGTAGATTTAACTTATATACTTTCGATATTCTTGGTACTTATTGTACAAAATGATGAAGAGTATGTGGTTATTGAGTGTAATTAAAGACAAGACGATGGTATTCTTAAGGACAGAGTCTTTAGATGATATCGAATGTGCAAAATTAACAGAGTAAATAAACTATTCCTTATGGATTGAATGAATTCAAAAGGATGATCTTATATACGAAGTTAGATAGATAATAAGTCGATATTCCGTTCAAAAAGAAAGGATGATAACAATATTATATTTGACAGAGTCACTTAAAGATGGTATTCCGTTATGGGGATGATATCTTTAAGAGTTAAGTTATAAATTAAACTATTCTTTAGGCTGTAAGCTTAAAGATGATCTTAATAAATAGACAATGGGGTTTGAAAGGAGGTATTCTTATGGCTTGACAGCTGTAAGATGATTCCGTGACAAAGAAGTGGGTTTTATATGAATTATTCCGTTTCCAAAGGAAAAGGATGATCTCGTATAAAGTAGTGAAGAAAAATAAAAGAAAAATAAAAGAAAATGAAATAAAAGTTTTTAAGAACTTGGGGTTGAGGGTTTTGGTTTTTAGATTTTGTTGGTTGTTTTAGTTGAGCTAAAAGATTGCTGAAGTTTTTATTAAAGAGAGGAAAAAAAGGGGGTTATTTATATGAGTTTAAGAAATTAGAGTTGAGGCTGGTATTTGGTACGAAGAAACGGCGTCACGTTAGATCACCGGATCTTACACCGGCACTCGATTCTGGCAGCTGAGACTCAAATATTTGGGTGTGGATATTTTGTTTTCCACACCCGTATTTTTTTAGCGTTGATTGCACGCCCATAAACACTTGAGTTTTGTATCCGAGCCAAATAACGTACACTAAAAAGCTCCAAATATCAGGAATTAAATGGGATAGAAGTGCTTGTCTTTTTTTTTCTGCTTTGGGAATCGAATTAGATGGGTGTTTGACTGACTGGGAATCGAAAAGTCTTAAGGATTAAGTGGGTGTCTGACTAACTGGGAAGCGAAAAATCTTAAAAAATTAAGTGGGCTCGACTGTGAATCGAAAAGTCTTACAGATTAAGTAGAAATTAACTTAGTAAAAAAAGATAGGAACTAAAGTTTCACCCAAGAGGCTAAGAAAAGAGATACAATTTGATCTGACACTGGCGTATATGCAATCATTCGCAGCAAAACAACGGTGAAGAAGCTCCATAGTCAGCTTAACCATTATGATTCTACGGCATGTTCCGAGGCTGTTACTTTTAGATAGCATTTATAACTTCTTCTGCAGTCTTGTATCTATTGATAGGAAATACAGGAAGAGGTTCCTGGACAGCATAGGTCATGTCATTTAAATCAAACTCGTTTCGATTGTCTGTGTTCATTTCTAAATCTGATAATATCCGTACCAATATGGGCTTTTTTTTCGTATAAAGCTTCATATAATTACACGTAAAACTCATAAAGTAAGCAGATTTCGTCAATGTTTATTTTATGGATTTGGAAAAGGAATTTGTTTTATGTCAATTGAATTACTGGGTGTGGATAGAATTTTTGGGTGTGGAAACAGCCAGAGTCGGGAGCCGGGTGTGGATATCCCAAAAAGGAAACTTTACGGGTGTGGAATAAGTTTTTTGTTTTTCAAATATACATACACTGTAGTTGACAATCATGTATTTGGAGTGGACAGCAACCTTATACGCAAAAAATAAAGTAGTAAGTTTTGAATCCCTGATGTCGCAAAAGTTCTAGAAAATTATGGAATAGAGATACTAATGCGGCTCGAAATATTCACCCTATTGCAAGTTTCATGCAAAAAAATAACAACTTACGTCCAAGTAGATTCCAAAGACTTGCAACAGACCCTCAATCATCCATATCGTAAACATATGTTGATAGTTCGGTAAGTCTTATTTATTAAATTTTTTAAAAAAAAATACGATAACTATTTACAATTATTTTCTCTCTCCCCTAGACATATTCCCCGTGTCAATATTAGGACTTTACTTTGTGAACATTGTGAACAGTTTAAACTGAGAAAAAGAAAAAGGTTGATTACTGGCACATGTTGTGTTGTTGCATAATTTTTTTATATATAACAGGTTTGGAAGGAGCATTCAGCTTGAAAGTATGAGAGGTCTGCACAAATCTGTTGCACAACTACAGGCCAGAAGAAAGGTATAGAGTCGAAGCTACTACGAAAGTGTGGTTTTCATATGTTAGACAAAATGCAGAGGATAACGTTTTGTACTCTTAAACCTGGTTTTTGGCAGTATGCGATGGGTTAGAAGTTCAAAGTGAAAGTTGCAGCAATTATATTTGATATGTTGTTTGTAGGCCAAAGAAATTCGGAGATAGTAGCTTTCCAAATATTGGCCTTCGAGGGGCAGTAAAAAAGCATATGTTTCTAAGACTTAATCGAAGACAGACAGATCTGACATTGGGCGGAATTGATTTTTCCTGGGAAAATTTGATGCATATATCGACGGGAAGGATGAGACAGGTCAATTGTCGTATATTACATTTTGCTGTACTATCACTAGTACCAGGTTCCAAAAAAGAAGCCATTACTTTGCAGGTATATAAGATATACTGTATTGTAACTGGGACCTATTATCTTGCTGTAGTATTGCCTCTCTGTATTTCTTGTTCCGTTGAGGGTAAGTTATTGAAATTGGTTTGTCCGCGATAATCAGTGTCTGTACCCAAGGATAGAAATATACCGATGAATTATTAGTTTGATCTGATTGTGATGGTTGACATAATGGCTGAAAGAAGGGAGTAAGTTGAATCGAACCATTTGCAAGACGATGGTTATCATTCTGGGCGAGTTACCACATTGATTGTCAAACGTGGCGGGATTTTTCCAATGTAGACACTGTAGTACTGGCCTGTATGAGAAAAGATCACTCACCAATAATTTGGATGCTTTTGGGAATCTTTGGTGGTTGAGGCGTGGTTCTTCCCTTTTTAGCATTATTCACGGACTTTGAAAACTTAAGAAATACATGTTAAAAAAAAAAAAACTGCGTCATCATTTTAAGGTTCACAGCCACAATAAAAGTTGTTAAAAATTTTTTTTCTTTCTTGTTTATATTTCTCACCAAAGACAAGGGCTTCAATACAGCTTTTATATCTACCAAGAGTCTCCCAAGCTTATTTTCTGCCTTTTTATTGTCATTCCATAAGAAATACGTTTACGCTAACTAAAAAATGATTTAACGTAAGAACACAAACCATTGAGAAAATTAGGAAACATGAACTAATTACCATCTGACCATAGAACATAACAAAAATATTTGAAAGAACACCTTCCATATATATGTATCAAAGCCTTTTATATGTATTTTGGTTTCAAGTCTAGGAAAAATGCCGAACAGAAGTTTAAGGAATCCATCATCAAACTAAGTAAGTAAAATGCTTGACAAGGAGCTGCAAGACTTTATTACTGAAGAGCTCTTAAATGACAACTTCCAGGTAGTTTTAGTTGTAAATGATTAGTGTCTGGTCACGTCTATGATAGATGATTATTGGCTCACCACACAGCGACAAACCAACGAAATATCAATCTTGAAACGAAAAGGGGAGGAGAAGAGTAGCAAGGCACCTGAACGGAAAAAGGTTTTTATTGATATTTCTCGACTTTATTTCGGCAGCACTAACTAGTTTACTTTTTTTTTTTACCAATGTTAAGAGCACCAAAGACAAAAAGTTGTCATCTTCGTATGTTTGCATTTGATATTCTTCTTGAGTATAAATACTTATCATAACCATCTTTATAGAATTGATAAAGAAGGAATAGTAGATTTCAGTAATACAGGCCCATCAGGACAATCACATGTCATTGTTTGGAACGATAATCAAGGGGTAGACGTCTTAAGAGCTTCTTATGAAATGAAAGATGATTTTAAGAAGGCAATTTCAAAAGTATTTAAAAATGTAAGATAACCAAAGTATGATAGTGCAGACTATTGTAGCGCATACTAATTTTTTTTAGTCGGATCACATCAATACCCAATATCGCAAAACTCTGGACTACCAGATGAACGCATCATCTGAGGACTTGTTTTTTTTTAAAATACTGTCCCATTTGTAAGTGTGCAAATTTATGCTACCTTAATCCTTAAAAGTATCTAAAAGTATAACAATTTCACCTATCATTATTAGGATTGAAGCTTACCAAATCAATAGCCATATTTTTGACATTGAAGAACAAAGGCTCTTAAGTGAAAAGGACTTTGACCACAAGATCTATGCCCGACTTCTGGAGTTACTCTTCTCAGACCGAATCGACATCAAAATCAGTGGTAATTCCTGGTGGTGATATAATCCATGATTGAACTCAACAATATGTTTTGACCTTGACTTCTCCTGGTCTCCTTTGTCGATTAGACCTATTGTACTGCTTACTGTAAATAAATACGTCGTTAAAGGGATATCGACGTTGAATTTTTTCATGATCCTCAATAACTGTGCGCCTCTTTTTTTGAAGGTTACTGTAAGCAAGGTAAATAAATTTAGATTTTTATGCTGGACTGAAGAATAACATTCTTTAATTTTTTAGCGGGGAAACTAAAATGGATAATTATAAGCTTGATTATCGTATTGGCTTTTACTATAAAAGTTTATTCATTGATGTATCCAACGTTGAAGTTGGTAAAGCTGCTACGGTCACCAAGTAAAGGACAACCACGACCATTTCAAATTGATTCGTTCAAACGGTGTGGGTCTTGGTACTAATCTTTCACAAACCGAAAAGAGTCTGGGTTGTATCCATGCCAAAGCAACCAAAAATATGGACGCGGGTAAATCCATGGTGTTGGAACGACCACCCTTAGACAATAAGCCGCTGGAGTATTGGGGTTCATGTTCATCAATGCGGAGAAATTTACTTTGAAGAAACTTTAAAGACTACCGTATTTGACTTTGTCAGTACTTGAGGTTGGGACCTATTCCGTATCAGGGAGTCGGGATGTATGAACAATTGTTAGAAAGGACTCATTTTGGTCGTGAATATGTTACTTCTTGTGGTGGTGATATTATTGAAAGTGCTGAATCCGGTGATATCTTAAAGGAGCATACTAAGATCGGTAGTAAAGTGTTGCATTTGGTGAGTGATCTGGGTCAAGTTGTTCATTATTTAAATCGTGATAAGACATGTCCCATGTATGGTGAGGATATGATAAAAGTTTGGTGTCGTCGTCGTACTTGGTATAAGGAGGTTTGTAACTTTGAATTCGTTGCCTATGTGAATATCATCGTGGATGACGGTTACGTCTCCCCTACCGGGTGGTTAGCCATTAAAAAGGATCTCCAGATATTCCTTTTCTTCATCAGCGGTCGTGATACCAACCAAGTAAATACTACTGTCGGTCGTGTCGGAGTACCCACAACCTTTAAATCATTGACTTCCAAGGACCTCAACTCTGTTCTCGAAAACCTCGAAGAGATCTGTGAAGGTACTGATGCTGTTGAACTGCGCGTGGATCTTTTATAAAAGCCTGATTTAACCTGTATTGAATATGTCGATGAACATCTCTCTTACGTAGAATGGTGTTGATTCCTGTTATTTACACTATGAGATCGAAGGGTCAAGCAGGTGCCTCCCCCGATAATGATGAAGAGGGTATGTTTGAATCACTCACTTGGGTTCAACGTTGGGGTTGTGAATATGTTGGAGTCCTATCAGTATTGAATGGCATGTGCCCTCCAAGGGCGAAAGTCTCATTATTTCTCCTTGGCACGATGTTCAGAACGTTACACCTTGAGATGGTAAGGCCAATCAACTCAAGTATGACGCGTGTGGAAAATACGGTGATATCATTAAACTTGTTGGCAATACTCAAAGTTTCCAAGACAATATGGCACTTGAAACATTCTGCGCTTCCAAGAAGGGTGGTAAAGATCTTATTGCTATCAATATGGGTGCTGCCGGACAGTTACCCGAACTTTTGCACGGAGATATCAAGGGTACTATTTGTGACATGGCTTACAAGTCTTATCGTACAAAGTTGCTTTTGCTAACTGAGCGTAAGGGTTGGTCTTGTCGAAGGCATCAAGATCTTGATCTTTCAAGGTATTGCTCAATGTAAAATCTGGACAGGAAAATGTGCCCCAATTACCGAAATTGAAGGTGAAGTGTCAAATACCCAGAGATGTAAACCTTCATGATATACAGTGGACACCCTGCAATGCGAACAAATTGTTTCATCACAGATCAAAGGAACCGGTTTTCCATTAGGTTGTTTCAAACTACCTGTTAATAATTAAACGTTATCACTTGGTTCTCTTGTCCTTTTTGTACACAAGCATGAACCCCCTAAGTCATTTATTTTCCTTTTATTTATTTCTAATAAATATTATTGACGCATAGACATCATATAAGTACGTTTTTGAGAGTGTTTCGATAATATTATGAAGCTAGATTTTAACCTTTTATACATGTATTCTTTAGGTCTCAATTGTTTTTTATTCCACATCTGTTGTGCTTAGGAACGAGGATCATACTTTAGTTTTTTGTGTATGCGTGTGTTACACTATTAATCTTGTATAAAAGCCGTAACGAGAGATGTTTTTGTTCAATCTGCTTCTTATATTACAGTGTGTTCTCTATTTAAACTCCAATTAACTTTAACGTTAATAAATCTGACAAGAATTCTAATTAATCCTATAATCTTTTTTTGCTTGAGAACAACCTTAAAGCCTACTTTTGCTACAGACAGCACTCGTTCTTCGTGCTCGCTGTAAGTTACCTGAAGAAAATGAAATACTTGCATCAATAATAGGTACTGGGGGCAGTGCTCTGAGTGGCATTGATTGATGTTGTTCTCTGGAGGGAGGTGGAGGAGGTAACGAAGTCACAGTTTCAATTTGTACATCCTCTGTATAGCTTGATCTGTTGTCTTTTGTACCTGGGCTGTAATTAAAACTGTAGATCTACTTTCTGTGGTCAATCATCTAATACATTACAGTACGATTCAAGATGTCTAGATGTCTTGAAGTATATATTACGTCTTTCCTTACAATAACTTGACATCAAAGCATACAAAATTTGGTGTTGCTTTTCCAGATGTAAGGCTTATGGAACGTCGCTTTTCAGGGTTTTTCATAAACTCTGCGTATAGCTCAGCCTCTTCACTAGTGTGTGCAGCAGTGACAGCTAACTTTGTCTTTTGACCGATTGCTAGAAAGTTGTACACAAAATCTTTGACAGAGCATCCAATAATTTCAAGCTTTACAACAGGGAGGAGACTGAGTTAGAGCAACTTGTCTTTTGAAAGCGTTTGGTTGCTTAAATGATTGATGGTTGATAATATGAGGTGTATTTTTGCATTACTTCATTTGGTAATGCTGTAATACCATATGTCTCTTTTGTTCGCTCATATTCAAAAGTACTACCGAGACTATTTGTAAAGTAGCTGTCAATAGGTGTATGACCCAGCTTGATTATAGTATTGCTTAATTGATATAACCAGGGACTGTAATGACCTTTATGCACTTTTCCGTTGCGATTTCTCGAGACAGCCTAAAAATCCATGCATTGTGATTTAGTATAGTAAGTATTAGGTCAATTGAACTTATATGTAAGCATACTCTGAAATTTTCTTGCATCGGTGTTGTGATAAAGACGATAGTCAGCAAGAATTATATCTGCTAAGCGAGGGCCTGCGTTATATGATGCAAATTTTCTTATGATGTTCATATGTTCAGAGCCTTCTACGGAACTAGTGCCTCTGCTACGCCTATACTTAATCAATCCATTCTTGTCGAACCTGTTTTTTTGTATATAATACGGGGCCATTTAAACGTCTGAAATGTGACCAAGTCTTATCTCCTCCAAAATATGCTTAGAAGCACTCCATGCGTTTTCATTAAACAAAGATTTTCCGCTTAATACGCACTTTGCAGGGCCGTAATGCATGAAACGCATTGAGACAAATTTGTACAACTCTTCAGGTGGTGGTATATACCTTCGTTCACGCTCCAAAATAAAATCAGGGGCTTTCACCATATAGCTCTCGCAAATAGTGCCTATTAATTCAAGGTATTGGATGACTAATATTTTATCACCGATATCAACAACGAACATGGCATCTCTGCAACGACGAGAAAACTCTTTGGCCATGCCATGCTTCAAGGAAACACGTATCATTTGCGTTACATGAAAAGCATATTTCAAGATTCTAGAAAGTACATGTAGATTTTCTGAGTCAAGAGACGTATTTGGATGGATGGTGTCCGACTCTGAGGGAACAGGAGATACTTCCAACAAATCTTGCTGTTTTTTACGGTCATATTGTTTTTTTAGGAGGTTCTCAAACAGCGGTTGTTAAGTCTTAACACAAAAGGAGGATCACCCAAATCACTTAAAGTTCTTGCTTCAGGATTGCCGCTTTCATGGCTTTCAAAAAGCTTAGAAAGCACTTGAACATCATCAATCTTTATAAGCCTGGTATCTTTTAGATGAGCTTCAGTGGATCCTTCATTATCCTCAATGAATTCATAGACAGAAGGCATCACTCTTGTGGTGATCTACCTACTGTTGTTATTAATAACATTATAAAACAATACTAAATTAAATCTCATTTCATCATCTCATACATTATTACATCACAACACGAACTAATCTTATGCATTATATCATATCCAACTACAAGCACTATTCTAGTGCTGTGTAACTTATCTATCAAACTAAATTCATAATCCGATTTCTCTTAACATATATAAATATGCAAACTGATAGTTAGAATAGAACCCTCTCAATCTTGGAATCTACTTTACTCTTAATAAAACTTATAAGTAGTCTCAAAGTAATTTATTGTTTTCTTTTATTTATTTTCTCTCCTCAACTATCACAACTCTTGCGGATGTTTGGTTGTATACTGCAACGAAAGTACTTTTTCGTAACCTTTTCGTTCACAGCCGGTTCTTCGTTAAGCTTTTTGAAATCTTTAAAGCGACCCAAGTATCTAATGCTGCATAGTTTATTATGTGCTTGCTTGTTAAGTCATATGTGGAGAAACTTAATTTTATAGGGAAAAATAAAAATTTAAAACAGATAATAAGATTAGTTGTGTTTGTAGGCTTTCATTCTTATTGTTAGTTTTAAAACTGAATGCCCTTCTACATTATGGTGGAAGTTAAGGTTAATATAGTTATTTGAATCTGTGGTTAAGATGGTATCTAATTGTTATTATAGGTGGCATTAGGTGGTATAATACATGTCCGATGGTGCCTTAAATTTAAGCAGTCATTGCTTTTATGATTGGATTGATTCGTAAACAATGATCTATTCTTATTGTATGTCAGAATTGAGAGGACGTTGGTTCTAAGAAATCTTGAGTTTTAAAGTAATAACTCAGAATTTATACCTGATGTTCTTTTCATTTGTGATATTTTATGTGGTATTTGAGTCGATCATGTGGGGTCAACGATTATTGATTTTATTTTATTATAAGTAATGAATGATAGATATCTGAGGTAACTGCAAAGATAAAATGCTTCCACAAAGAACATCAGCAAGTTGAGGACGAGAGTTATCAACTGACTCGCGGATGTAGCAAAATGGCCCAAGATCTACGTGGTTTGCTACCACAACACCAAAAACACGCTTCACTCTTGTACAGTCTGCCCTGATATTTCTCCCTAATTTCACAATCATGGAAAAGTCAAGAACCTTAGATAGCTCACGAGGAAACGTATTCGTATCAAAGTCATGTACACGGAACAAAACAATTTCATTTTGGTATCTAGCATAAATCTAGATTAAGGATACTCGACTTGTGGACAACATTTATTCACAATCAAAACCAGCAAAAATTTCATTACTATACTCATCAGTATTTCCAAATATTTCAATACAAGCCTTATTGATCTCTGCTTCAGATCTTAAAACTCTGAACTTTGTCGTGATCGAGGCTATATACTTAATATATGACTCTATCTACACTTCTTAAATCTTCCATTTGATAATCCTAAATATAATTCTTATTGATACTGTTGTTACGCGACAAATCGAGCGTACTTTCAATTTATCTTCTCTTTTAATCACCTACCAAAGCGCATAACGCCTTTTCGGGCTTGCACCTGTCAAAACTACCTCTTTCCATCTTTTTCTTATCCATAGATCTGTGACCTCTTACTAGGCGCAGTTATCCCATTCTCCTTCATAAATTTATTTAATTTCTTTAATTTCAGTGACTGGATTATATATCCATCACTATAAATAGGCATCCATAAGACCTCTCTTTCAATAAAAATCCTCATCTATTATCTTACTCATATTTCAATACTTTGACCTATTAGTTTTATATATTATTCAGCTCTATTATCATTCTGATTGATCCCTTGGTTATATATTATCATTGTATCTTTTATTTTATAAGCATATAAAGCTATACTTATTCTCATTTATTTTCAGTTCAGCTTCTGATTAAACTAGCTGTGGTGCTCACTTAACTCGCAACTCTAAAGACCTTTCTTTACTAAACCTCTATTTTATTTAAAGAATCTCTTTTATCTCTATTATCCTACTCGCATCCTCTTCTAAAACTGTTATATTAAATACTGATCATTTACTTTATGTACAGGCTTGATCTCATATCATCCTTCATACAAGTATAAGACGTACATTATTAAATAATAACATTAATATGAAAACATATGAAGGTTACATCAGCCACGTTGAGTTGCCACAGCTATCTTTAATAAGAACTATATTTTCCCCTGAATGTTGTGCTACAAGACATACACAGTTTAAGAATGAATGTTATTGTTATTGTTATTGACATCTCATTATGGTCTTTCTATATGGGATCATTACATCCGAGTATTATCTGGATAAATCTACCCACAACCGTCATCAGCCCATCTGTGATCAATGTCTGAAATATTGTGTATATAAAGACCCCCTTTTATTTGTTTAATAAAGCCTTAGTTTATTTTTGCAAGTTTGATAATTTTCTTGTTTTTATTTTTATAAATCTACACCGATTTCCACACATACATATATTTGAGCCCCCAAAACACTCTTATTTTCAATTATCAATCAATAAACTTTATTTTGATTCTTTTCAGAGAGGTTAATCACATAAGTCAAGGCGGGACCAGCCCTTCTGACTCGGTATTTAAGCACCGTCTCCAATTCTATAAGTAAAATATGACTGAGGTAGGGCGTTAAAGACCAAAATGCTGATTGGCTAGATGTTTACAGTGATAGTATTTGAACACCGAATAGTTAACTGATGTCATCTTCGACTCACAACAGGGAAGAATTTTTTTTTTAACTTCTGCAATGACTGTAGCGTCTGCAGTATGGTTCTTCAATAAACCACCAGGATGATCAAGCGTCCTGAGCCACTTTCGGGAGATAGCTTGCTTGCTTTATAGCTGAAAACTGCCTTTATCAGATGTGAAGGAGACAACTAGCTGTATCAGCAAACTGGATGGAGTTTGTTTGATGGGTAATCCTGAAGTATCCTAGAATAAAATGAAAACACTTTCAGTGGATAGTTGTATTCGACAGTTATTTGTATCTTTTCGAATGGTACATGCTTAGCCCAGAGGTAAAAAAAAAAAAAAAAATCAACTTTATTTGTATTTATGAATTGAATTCAAAGGTCTAAAACTTTTACAAGCCAAGTTTTATCAGGGTTTGAATTCTACACAGCTCTCTTCGTCTGATACTACACGCTTCAAGTGGGGGTTTGCAAAGAGCTTGGATCAATCCGAGTTGGATTCTGTACGTGGTAGTGTGGATAGTATGACAGCGTTGAGTCGTGGCGAAGACAAGTTAAAGAGAAGAGCCAATGTGGGACCTAGTATGCCTCCTCCCAGTATGCCTGTATCTAAAGGAGATCAACGTAAATACGAGCAAAAGAAGCAAAAGGAAATGAGACAAGCCATCCTGGATGAAGTAGCACCAAGAGAAACAGGTCGTGAAGCACAAATTGCTAAAAAGCATATTCGTAGGACCGACTCCAATGTGGTGGTACTTGATGCTACATTGTTGTGGTTCTCCATTGAACCGCCAGGATAATCATGGCGTCCTGAGCAACTTTCGGGAGACTGCTTGCTTGCTTTATAGCTGGAAACTGCCTTTCTCAGGTGTGAAGGAGACAACTAGCTGTATCAGCAAACTGGATGGAGTTTGTTTGATGGGTAATCCTGAAGTATCCTAGAATACAACGAAAACACTTTCAGTGGATAGTTGTATTCGACAGTTATTTGTATCTTTTCGAATGGTACATGCTTAGCCCAGAGGTAAAAAAAAAATCAACTTTATTTGTATTTATGAATTGAATTAGAAGGTCTAAAACTTTTACAAGCCAAGTTTTATCAGGATTTGAATTCTACACAGCTCTCTTCGTCTGATACTACACGCTTCAAGTGGGGGTTTGCAAAGAGCTTGGATCAATCCGAGTTGGATTCTGTACGTGGTAGTGTGGATAGTATGACAGCGTTGAGTCGTGGCGAAGACAAGTTAAAGAGAAGAGCCAATGTGGGACCTAGTATGCCTCCTCCCAGTATGCCTGTATCTAAAGGAGATCAACGTAAATACGAGCAAAAGAAGCAAAAGGAAATGAGACAAGCCATCCTGGATGAAGTAGCACCAAGAGAAACAGGTCGTGAAGCACAAATTGCTAAAAAGCATATTCGTAGGACCGACTCCAATGTGGTGGTACTTGATGCTACATTGTTGTGGTTCTCCATTGAACCGCCAGGATGATCATGGCGTCCTGAGCAACTTTCGGGAGACTGCTTGCTTGCTTTATAGCTGGAAACTGCCTTTCTCAGGTGTGAAGGAGACAACTAGCTGTATCAGCAAACTGGATGGAGTTTGTTTGATGGGTAATCCTGAAGTATCCTAGAATACAATGAAAACACTTTCAGTGGATAGTTGTATTCGACAGTTTTATGTTTCTTTGCGATTGGGGTAGCCTAAATCAACGGTAAATAAGACAATAATACTTTGAAATCTTTTTTATTTATTTGTGCTTTTAGAATTTAACCCGAGGATCCTGATTGACCGCCGATGGCAATGTCACGCGAAGTAAAGGGGTGTGGAAACCCATTTAACTATTTAATTGGATGTTTTGTAGGAACTTTGTTCCATACGTGACAATGGTAAGTTCTAAATTGTTGTGGCATACCGAAGCGACCAATCTCACAATGTTTTCGAATGTGATAACTCTTCCCTAGAGATGCATGTGTACCATCATCAGCACACTTCATTTTTTTATATATCACACCAATATAAATTATGGTATATAAACGTTTCATATATTTACAAGGACCCGCCTCAAGTACTCGATACTTGCCTTTCTTATACATAATTACATTGATATGTTGCACTTCCTATTAAACTAACAAGATTAATATTGCTCAAATATCTTTTATCGCATCAAGATTTTGTTCCACGGATCAGTATTAAAACATTATTTCAGTACAAAGCCAGTGAAGTTGCATCGAACATTCCACAAGCTTTTTTTTTTTTTTTTGTTCCAATAATGATATATTTTGAAACGACCATTTGCCAATAATGCAAAATTGCAAACTAAGTCTGTATAAAAGCTCAAAATGCAAAATGAACCAATAAAAAACAACATGCAATTTACTTCTCAGTTTCCGCGAATTGGCGTTGTTACGGGACTCTATCAATCGTTAGACTTAAGGCTATGGGTGTGTCCAATCAAAACTCTGGGATAGACCATAAGTAGAGCATTCGGTTGGCTGAATTTGAGTATTAGTAGGAAGTTTCATTGGCCAATGTTTCGGCCCGAAAAATTTGATAGCTGGGCCTGTTCTTAGTTAGTTTGTTAATCCGCTTTGAAGGGTTATAAATAAAAACAAAGGAAAAACTTTCTGTACTCCTTTACATTATTTTAAAGCTTTATTTTATATAGGTCCTAAACGAGACTTAATTTCTACTGAATCCGAAAGCGTTCTCTTGAGGACTGACAAAAAAAAGAGAGGTAGACCTTTAGGCCAAAAGAACCAACCTGGAACTATTGGTGTAGGAAGACCTTTTAAAATGCGAGACACCATTAGAACTGTACAGACTACCTTAAGCAATTTTACCTCAAAAGATCAATCAAAAGTTTCTATTGTGAGTTTATTACTCTTTTTATATGGGACTTATTATTGATGTTAATTTAAGATATCGGAGACTGCAAGTGGCAGTAACAATGATTAAATAGAGTCAGATTGGATTAGTAATGTCAAATATGCAATTTTCACCTTGGAGTTGCAGTACTTGGACGCCGTTAAATATTTTAATAACAGCACTATTCACGGTTTTTTTTTTTGGCTCCTCAACAGTCGAAAAAGTTTCTGCATACAACGATAAAATGAGATACGGTGGCGTATGTCCTAGCTCCAAGTATATCAGCCATGTGTACACATCATTTATTACTTTGCTGCGCTCAAACATGGAACGTGAGACCATGGTAAAGGATGGCGAATTTCTTAAGGTGGACCATTCCTTTAAAATTATTAAAAAGATAGCTAAAGTTGTTGGTAAGCCTATATTCCAAGGATTGCACATCGTTTGCAACGAGTATGAAGAAGTACGTGCAATGGCTTTTGTACCGACAAAAGGTCTCGCATATGTCAAACCATTGTTGTGCGCTCTCAAGAGGTCGTACGAGCTATACGGTCATACCATGCCAAAAATAGTTTTTATAGACAATGGCGTAGGCGATTAGAAGCTTTTTGAAGACATTTTCCCTTCCTTAATAATTGATGTAAAAGATGTTGATGATGTAACGGTCGAAGTAACTGATCAAGAACACCAACTACCCGTGTATAAAATCCCTTCGCATGTTACAGTTGAATGTTTAAGTAGCACTGATTCCATTGACTTTTTTATGCAAACAATTTTAAATGATATTCATGATAGAAGAACCAGAGTAAATATTGGTTTTGATTGCGAGTGGTATTATACCATCACACCGTCTTATCAAGGAAAAGTTGCTACTATACAAATTGCTTATCAGAAAAAGGTTTTCATCATTCAGACAAAACATTTCGATGTCGACCTCACTTCTGGTTTAAAAATTCTTCCTGCATCTTTGAAAACTCTTCTGTTGACACGGTCCATAACAAAAATTGGAAAATCAATCGGCGGTGATTTTAAAAAGATCCAACGAGATTTTCATGGTGATTTTGTTTGTCTTGGCTCTTTAGAGATTGGCACTCTCTGCAAGGACAAGGATATTGTCGCCCGGGCCAATTTAAGTCTACTAACCGACGTTTGCAGGACTGTTCTCAGTCGAAAATTGAACAAGGATGATCGTATTCGGTCTGGAAATTGGGAGGAAACGCACCTCAGCGAGGATCAAATAAAGTATGCTGCTGCTGATGCGTACGTTTCGTTGGAATTATATGACAAGGTAAAACTATTACCGACAATTGGATTGGCAATTGTGGGTGAGCCACAAGTTGGAACATTTGTGAGTGTTCATGCTGGGTCATCAAAAACAATTTTGGCACGTGGATTCATTTGCTCCAAAGATACGGTTCAATGAAACCGTAACAACATTGAAGATATTAATTAATCGCATTTAAAATTTTTATATGTATCATGATTAACTGTTCTTATATAGGTTCTGCAACTATTCAAGAAAGACAAATAAAGTTTAGAAAACGAAATATTGCTGTTACCGAGATCACAGATATAATGGTACCGGCTACTATGGTCAATCCCTTTTCTATGGTTCACGGTTTCGAAACGGAAAAGTGTAGTCTGGAAGTTTTGAAACGAAAATGTGTTGACAATGGAACATCAATTAAAATTGTTATCGATATCAAGCAGTTAAGGCTGAAGTCAGCAAAACCACCTTCTATTGAAGTACCGCTGTCATCCTCACAGAATTCTGAAGATACACCTATGTATTAATAATTTTAACCAGGCTCAAATTATTAGTGATGATATTCCTATTTTAGTTGGTAGGTAGATTTATTTATATAGATTTTTTTTTATTCATCATAATATTTGTTTTAAGCAGATTTGGATATGGTAGTTGATGATCAAAGTGAGGATGAAGAGAGGGATGATGAAGAAATTCACAATTTTATAGAGCAAAATAGCAATACTGACGTTGATACACTTTTGGATGTCAATATTGATCAAGAAGAAAGCAACACTATTTTCATAACTTATCCGCACACTAGGAAAAAAATTGCTCACTTTTTTTTTTTTTTTTTTTTTTTTGCTCACTACACAAATTATTTTTTGCTCACTTTGATTCTTACATTTCGCACAAATTTCGAAAATAAATATAACCAATGGACCTTCGTATTTATCAGGAAGATGGACATGGAAACGCTGTAGATGAGCATGGAAATGAACCGTTTGAAATGGAAGTAGACGTGGACGGTTACCCACTCGCTGACACTGTTGACTTCGATAGCTACATGGAATTTAAACCACCTGAAAAGCCCGAGGCCTCAATTAAAGCCAACAAGATGGTTTCTACTGCTGCATCAGAACCAGTTTCTTATTACAAGAAACATTGAGACGATGTCAAGGGTTATTTTTTCTACCTTGTTTATGAAGAAGGCCTAGCTGCAGGTAAAGCAGGAAAGCAGTTAGGTATTGCCCGTAGAACCACCTACGACTGGTTGAAAAAAGACCAAGATTTGATTGTTGAAACGCGGGATGGATTGGAGACCAAAAAAACCGAAAAGAAAGTTGGTAGACCTGCTTTATTGAATGAAGAGCATAAAAAGCATTTAGAAGAAACGTTTATCGATCACCCTTCTGCAACTTTGGATCAGGCAATAGAAAGTCTTACCAGCCAGTTCAGTGAATTGAAAGTAACCAAGACAACCGTTTACAACTTCATGACGGAGAAGTGTGCCTTGTCATTTAAAAAAGCACACTTTCATTTAAAAGAAAGAAACTCGTCCGTAAGCATTGAGAAAAGATTTGACTGGGTTACAAGATGGATTCAAACCGACATGGATTACAACAGTAATTGTGTTTTCATTGTTGAGTCCGCCTTTCACATCAATTTGAAGCGAACAATGGCTTGGTCCAAAAAGGCACTCGAGCTAAGGTTATCCAACCACTGACACGAGCGAAAACTACGACAATTTTGGGTGCTATATCCCCGTATGGCATTGTCAATGTTAAGATAAGGGTACCATATTCAGCAGCTTCTAAGAAACGAAAGACGGTTGGCGGTAGTAAAATGCAGAAAAGTATTGGTACTGTTACGGGACATTACTTCAATTTTATTGCCAGCACTATCGATGTGATGGATCGTCATGAGGAATTCAAAGGGCACTACATTATCATATATAATGCGCCCATACATACATCCGATAATATTAGAAAGTTTATCGAAAGTCGTGGGTATGGGTGTGTGTATCTACCACCTTATTCCCCTGAATTAAACCCTATCGAGCAGTTTTGGTTTGTTGTTAAGAGTAAATTGAAACGTGAAAAACTGTTGGAGGCCGAAACTTTGAACACCAGAATCACTGAAGCATGCCAAAATGTCTTGATAAGCGACTTTAAGGGCTTTTGCCGGTATTCTGAGTCCAAGTTCGAAACTTGTTTAAATAAAAATCCCCTCTAAAATAATTCGCACACACTGTGCAAAAAAGATTCCTGGAAGTGAGCAATTTTTTTTTCAAAAAGTGAGCAAAAAAATAGTGAGCAATTTTTTTTTCAAAAAGTGAGCAAAAAAATAGTGAGCAATTTTTTTCCTAGAGTGTGCA